CTACCCCACCCCCTGCTAACTTGCCGACCTCCTCCACTCTTCCTACCACTCCATCCCCCACAGCTATCTCCTCCTGTGCCACCATCCCCTCCCTCCTAGATTGTAAGTTCGAAAGAGCAAGGCCCTCAATCCCCTCATGTTTTGCATTGTATTGGTATTGTTCTGTCCCCCTCTGTAATGTACAGCGCTGAGCGAACTATTGGCGCTTTATAAATACTGTATAATAATAATAAATAATAATAATAGTGGGGAAAAAGTGGAATTTGAAGTGGAATCAATCTTCAACTTCAGGAAGTGAGGAGACCAGATCCAGTACTTTATCAAGTGGAAAGGGCATTGCCCTGAATGAAGCTATTGGGTCTACTTCTCATTAGCTTCCATATTGCTTTTAGGTAAACCATCTGATGACATTCATTCATCTTCTCCGAAGTCCACCTCACCACCTGCCCCCTTGACCCTGTCCCGACACAAATCCTACGGTCACCCTCCTCCTCCATTCTACGCTCCCTCACTCACATCTTCAATCTCTCCCTCTCTACTGGTACATTCCCCTCCCCCATAAAGCACGTGCACATCACTCCCATCCTCAAAAAACCCTCTCTGGACCCCACCGACCTGAACAACCTTAGACCCATCTCCCTGCTGCCATTTACATCCAAACTCCTCAAGCGCTTAGTCTATAATTGCCTAAGCTCCCACCTCAACGACAACAACCTCCTTGATCCCCTACAGTCTGGCTTCCGTCCCCTACACTCCACCAAAACTGCCCTACTCAAACTCACCAACAACCTGCTAACCGCCAAAGCTAATGGCCACTACTCAGTGCTCCTACTCCTCGACCTCTCCGCGGCCTTCGACATAGTCGACCACCCCCTCCTCCTTAAAAAACTATACTCCCTTGGCCTCAGAGACTCCGCTCTCTTCTGGCTCTCCTCTTATCTATCCCAGCGCTCCTTCAGTATTACCTATAACGCTGCCACCTCCCCTTTCTGTTGGGGTCCCCCAAGGCTCTGTCCTCGGGCCCCTTCTCTTCTCCATCTACACCTCCTCCCTTGGCCAACTGATACACTCCCTTGGCTTCAACTACCACCTCTACGCCGATGACACGCAAATCTACCTCTCTACCCCTCGCCTCACTCCTTCAGTCTCCGCCCGAATCACCCGCCTACTTAACGACATATCAGATTGGATGTCACTCCACTTCCTCAAACTAAACCTTTCCAAAACCGAGCTCCTTGTTTTTCCCCCAGCCCACGCCCCCCCAACCTCTCCACCACGACCAATAACGCCACCATCAGTCCCACCCCGCAAGCCAAAGTTCTAGGTGTCACTCTAGACTCCAATCTGTCCTTCCAGCCCCATGTCCAATCGCTGGCAAATTCATGCAGGCTCCACCTCTGCAACATCTCCAAAATACGTTCATTCCTAGCCCCAGACACTACTAAACAACTTGTTCACCCCCTTATTATCTCACGACTCGACTACTGCAACTCCCTCCTCACCGGCTTACCTCATCACAGACTATCCCCGCTTCAGTCTATCCTGAACTTTGCGGCTAGACTTATCCACCTTACCAACCGCTCCGTATCCGCCACCCCCCTCTGTCATTCGCTCCACTGGCTTCCGATTGCCCAACGCATAAAATTCAAACTTCTAACATTGACGTACAAAGCTATTCATAATACTGCCCCAAACTACCTCACCGACCTGATATACAAATACCACCCTACACGTACTCTTCACTCCTCACAAGACCTCCTACTCTCTAGCTCCCTGGTCTCCTCCTCCCATGCCCGACTCCAGGATTTCTCCAGGTCTTCCCCCATCCTCTGGAACTCACTACCCTAATCCATCAGACTGTCACCTACACTCCTCACCTTTTGGCGCACCCTGAAAACCCATCTCTTCAGGGAAGCCTACCCTGCCCTCACCTAACTGCCGATCTCCTCCACTCCTACCACTCCATCCCCCACAGCCATTTCCTCCTGTACCACTATCCCCTCCCTCCTAGATTGTAAGCTCCAAGGAGCAGGGCCCTCGAACCCCTCGTGTATTGTATTGTTACTGTATTGTCTCATGTACTGTCTCCCACTATAATGTACAGCGCTGAGCAAACTTTTTGGCGCTATATAAATACTGTATAATAATAATAAAAATTAATATTAGAGTAGTGAACAGCCTTTGGTCACATTTTACCAACACTCTTTTGGGCGTTACTGTCATTAGTGGAGCTTTATTTTAAAGGGATCATACCATCCTTTCACAGTCTGTTATTTGGGACATTTTTGTGTATTGTAGATACCTCTGCTTAAAGATTGAGTATTCTGATGATGAGTTTAAAGGCCCCCAATGTCAGCAGACTTTGAGCACATTTTTCCACTGGCCAGTGGTTAGTTATAAATCTATTAGATAAACAATAAACCTCAGTAGTTAGCTGTATGCTTCTCACTACCTATTGGGGATATTTATTGCATTGATTGTTGTTTATTGTCACCTGCAAAGTCATTCTCAATGCTCCCAGTGCGTTTAGGCAAGGCCTTTCACTAGCAGTAAAGATAACTAATGCCAGCTCTATGCATCTCTTTGTACCATGGAGGTTTTTTAATATTTTGATGTATTCATTTTTTCTGTTGGTTGAAATAGACTTTTTTCAATCTGGTTAACTATGTATCAATGCATAATTCCACTGTTATTAAACCATTGCCCTTAGTACTGTCAAACCTGTTTAACCAATGCTTTTCTGCAGGGCTAATTTCTGCTTTGTTGAAGCCTAATTGTAGCCCTATTGGTGTTTTAGTGTAATTGTGGGTCCAGTTATCAGCTTGATCATAACTGGAAATGGCAGGAGATTTCAACATTTCCAGCAGCTCATTTGAGGGTCATTACTACACTAAGCTGAGTAAATATTCACTTGGTGAGTAAACATAAGCTTTGCTTAGTAAACATTCATTTTATTGTGTGAACAGTCACTAAACTTTACTAAATCAACCATACTTAGGTATGCAGCGAAAGTGATCCTTATTTACTAAAATATCAACCAACCAAAAAGATGCAAAAAAAAAAAAAAAAAAAAAAGCTAAGCTTCTTCAGGATTGCATTTCTGAAATAAATCCAGGCTTATCTCATCACACTTTCTACTTTAATAAATGGGACCAAATGTATATCATCTCTTTTCACACCACTTCATACTTCAGTAAATCCAACCTGCGCCCTCTTTCACAGCAAATTACCACCATATGAGATGGTCCTAATTAGGCCTGAAAAGAGAGTCTGGAATCACACAATAGGGCCGATTTAAAACAGTGAGTGGAGAACACTATTCACTCTTTGCTGAACACTGCAATATTACTCCACACTGTGGCCTGACATTTACTCTTCACTCAGAAAATGCAGGCCACTCTGTATAGGCTGTGGTGTCCCATGGAGTTTTATCTGCTGCAGAGAAAAGTTAAAGAGTAACTAAAGGCAAAACTGTTTTTTAGTTTTGGATAGAGTACAGAAAGATTAGAACTCTTGTCAGTTATTACTGCTGTCTATGCCCCCATTAGGGAGATTCCCCCTCTCTATTTGTCCTGTTTACCATTATAGTTAAAAGTGAAAGTAAAAGAAAATCCCAAATTTTGGGTTGTCCCCAGAAAAGTAATAGAGGGGAAATCTTCCAATGGGGACACTTGTTCTGGTGACCTGGGGGTCCCTAAGGAATTTCCAGGGATTTCCTCTCACTTTCTGTTTAGCTTTGGACAGGAAGAGAATGGAAATCTACACAATGGGACTGAGATGGTGAAAAACAATCTGACAGGGGTTATAACCCATCCTTACTCTATCCAAAATGAAAAGAAAAAGTTTTGCCCATAATTCTACTTTAATGGTTGGGGGAGAAGCTGGTCACATGATTTTGACAGGTGATTGACCGGGATGATTTTATATTTCTTTCCATTTATTTGAATAGCATTCTGCTTGCTTCATTAATCTGCTATGCTTTATAATTATATATTATATATAGAGGGGTTAGACAAAAAAATGGAAACACTACATGATTTGCAGGTGTGAAAGTAACAACATGCTTTACGTTGAAAGTGGAAGTGATGTAACATTCGTTTGCTTCCGCTGTTCGATGAGACACTACTAGTTATCAGGTGGGCCTGTCACTTTGTCATTCACCACATGTGCTGCTAGTATTGAAGACTCATATCAGAGCTTACTGAGCTTCAAAGAGGGCAAATTGTTGATGCCCACTTAGATGGTGCCTCTGTGACCAAAGTTACGAATTTAATTGCCATGTCCCAAAGTACAGTATCAAAGGTTATGATGGCATATATGGTTTATGGAAAAACATTGGCTGATAAGCATCAGTGTGGTAGACATGGTCAACTGACTGAGATAGACAAAAGGAAATTGCACAGGATTGTGACCCAGAATAAGAAAACAACTACTGCAAAAATGACTGTAGTGCTCAATCTCAGACTGAGATTGAGCTCTGCAGTAACTTTTTGGTCAGTTGACCATGCCAACCGCCCTTATGCTTATCAAATGACGTTTTCTTGGGAACTGTATATACCGGCATGACCTTTGATACTGAACCTCATGACACAGTAAATAAATTGGTACCTTTAGTCACAGAGGCATCAACTAAGCAGGCACCAACAATTTGCCCTATTTGAAGTTCAGTAAGCTCTGACATGACTCCGTATTACTAGTAACGCATGCAGTGAATGACGAAAGTGAGGCTTCCCACCTGTTAGCTAGCTGTCTCATCACACAGCAGAAGAAAAAGAATGTTCCATCGCTTCTGTTTTCAACTCAAAACATGTCATCATTTTCACACCTGTAAATCATGTAGTGTTTTAATTTTTTTGTCTAACCTCTGTATATTTTATGAAAGCAAATACATGTACACACACAATCTAGTTTTATCAAATATTTAATTACACTGACTTTAAAGGGCATTATTATAGATTTATAATAAAAAGATCTTTGACCTTATAACCAATGCAACATACCTTTAATTTCTTTTGAGAGTATGCATAGATGTGTGTCTTCTCTATCTACAGCCATCTAAAAAGAATAAATACATTATTTATTAAATTAACATGATATATCATTCCCAATTCAAGGTAGAACCAAAAATCATATTTTAGTTATTGGTAGATACTTAGCATGAAAACACCTGGCAATATATTCGATTTTTCGGGGGGGGGGGATCCATTAATTAGGTCTCTGTACACCTGCAGGGTGAGTATTACAAATGTTGCACACCTACCCTCTTGTGCTTTTTATTTATTTTTATTATGAAGAATGCAACAGGAAATGTTCAGAGATGGCTGGAAGCATCAAGCACTTCTAGAATGATAGGAGCAGAGTCAAGAACTATGACACTAGATCTTGGGCTAAGCAACACGGCTAAGCAAGCCCTGGTCTGGCTCACTTTGTCGGGTTCCAACTAAAATATTACTTTAGGGTGGAATAACCCTTTAAAAATAACACCAATGTAGTAAAGAACATTATCGTGCTCATTTGTGTTAAGTATTGTTAAAATGTATCAAATATTGTTCTGTATATTAAATAATAATATATTCAGTAATATTTGGTTGAGGTGAGGAAATTGAGTCCAGTATCCTAGTCTGGCTGAACCATTAAGTACAGTCTTCAGATTCTCTTAGTTAAGCCTAGTACACACTATGAGAAAATTAGATGAAATTGGTCTGATTTTCCATGATGTTGCGTATCATGATGTATCCAACAATGGCGATTCTCAGTCTACCTAGGCAAACATTCTTTCTTGTGTAAAAATTCTATGTTCTTTGCCATCTTCTTATGGGTAGTTCTTTGCTTCTGATCATGAGTGTTTTTTTCTATTTGATTATTTCCTTATGACTTCTGTACATATTGAGTGAAATTTGAATGCTGCGTTCAAGTACAATAAAAAGTTTCTAGCGTGCACCTTTTTTTTTTTTCTTTTCATTTGAACAGTCAGAATCAGCTGTCGAAAGCAGTATACTAATAGAGATAATCAACCGATCATTCCTCGTATGGAAATTTTCAGACTATTTTCTTATCATGTGTAGGAGCCTTTACTCTTTGCACTGTGCACTGATGTAACTGTTCAATACTGTACACCCCTTCTCCTTACAGTTTACTCGTTATCTAATAACTACCCTAAAACTCATTGGAACTATTCATGTAGAAAACACCCTGTTTCCTATATCACTCAGCAAACTGGTGTCACTAGTAATAATAGCTCATATACTGTACACTGCCATTGTAACTAGTGAGATAGGTTATAATTTTAGATTTAGCAATAGACACTACTGCAATTAATCTTAAGTCTGCAGCTTTGACTTGATCAGAAATGGAGAACTGTAGATGATATGGATAGTTTTTAACAATCAGGAGTAGCATAAATATAGTGGAAGAATTTATTTTAAAAAATAATTTTTTAAAAGTTCAGCATATAAATATATATAAGTATAGCATGGTCATGCATGTTACTTTATTATATATAACATACTCTGTATGCTACTGTGCAATCATTGTGATTTTTGTGTTATGCTTTGTTCCAAATATTATTTGTAATTATAACTTCAAGCAGTGGAAATATTTTTAACACATTTCCTATAAAGGCTATAGAAGAACTGAAATGATTAATATATTTTGTAATCTTTTGGAAACAAAATGAGAAAAATGTTACTTTAGAAACCAGCAAACACAGGATCTACAATCACACGGACCACATTTTTAAAGATGGGCTTTTGTTTTTATTTAATGCTTTGTGCTAGTAAGTTGTGAACACACTAAAGATGAACAACTGAGTGTCCTCTTTGTGGAAGCAATTGTAATGTGAAACATTATCTATTCTGTGCTGCTGAGTTGTGATTGAAGGCACTGACCTGCCATAGACTTATAATAGGGGAGCAGGTGTGGCAATGATGGACTTTAATTTCCTTTAATAAACCTTTTATGTGCCACACTTTTACTGCCATTCGACGCTCTCCAAGGTCCTGCACATAATAGGTTCATTACTTTTGATTACTATAGTCTATTGAGATAAACAACTCTAGAATGCTGTATATATTATGCACAGATATACTATTTATCTATTGTGTTTTTTATGGCAGGCAACTCCACAGACAAAATTAAAAGCAGTCTGTGCTTCAATTCAGGAAAGAATTACTACTCGATCAAACCTAAGTAAATGCCAAGAAATAATTTTATTGAAATATCTGCTTGTTTCATTGTTCTTCTATACACCTTTTATGGACACACAATATCCTTAATTGTTCTGTATTTCTTGAAGTTTATCCATTGAAACACTTATTTTTTCAAACGGCCTGCAGTTATGGACACATTTAAAAGAATTGCCATAAAGCATCTAAAATGTCATGTAACCCTGTTTATTCACGATTTCTTTTTCAAAAAAATTATAATGCATTACTCTTTTTCAATGCTTTTAATACAGCTTTTCATTCATTCATCAAGCTTTTATTTTGGTTCCAAGAAACCACTGATCAGATTAATTTTAAATTTGTACATGTAGGTTTGTAATTTTATTTTGCTAAATTATTTATTCATCCATTGTCCATTGTATGGTCAAAACATTTCACTTCAGATTATATAGACCCCAATCCCACCCCCACAAACATAAACACTGTGGAATCAGTTTGAATGAAGGCCTATTATCTACCAGTATATTCCTGGACTAAAGGAGGATACCCCCACAGGCATTAACAGAACATTTTAACTCCATGCAGATACTGACATGCTAAAAAGTTGGACTCCCAAAACATGGGAAGATATACATTATACAGTATTTGAAAGTGGTGTACCCCTTTTAGCAAAAAAGATTTTTGGTGCACAGGAACCAGTACAAAAGTGGTAAGTATGCAAACAAGGTTAAAGAGATCCCATCACTTTGTCCAGTTTACTATGGAAGATTAGGATCCATTCACACTGTTGTGGTGCATTAGCTCATGCGTGTTTTGAATAGATTGTGTTGCTTTCAGGCAGCTTATTATTTTTAATGTGCTACCTAGTACACTAGAATGCATTAAAAAGGCGCATGTACCATTTCTGGCAGAGCACCCATACGCATTTATGCATTTATCTGCAAGGTGTGTTAGGGTGCCATTCTGAATGAATGGACCATATTGCACCAACAAAAATAACTTGCAAGAGTGTGAATAGGCCTTTAGCATTATGGTTGAAGTAGCATTAAACCTTAATTTTTTTTCATTTTTCCCTTTAAAATAACAACATTTTATGCCTACCTGCTCTGTGCAATTGATTTTGCACAAAGCAATACTGATCCTCCTCTGCTGGGGTCCCCCACCAGTGCTCCTGGCTTCTTCTCTTTGGTGAGTGCCCCCATAGGAAGCTGCTACCGATAAGAGCACTCATGTGGGCCTGCTCCCAAGCCACCTTGTCTGCATCCATTGACAAAAACAGTGTGGCTCGGCCATGCCCCCTCACTCACTTGTTATTGGATTTGATTGACAGGAGCAGAAGCTAATGGCTCCTGCTGCTATCAATCTGTCCATAAGGGAGGGACAGAAGAGGGAGAGCTCTCATGCACAATGCTGGATTGAGATTAGGCTCAGCTAAGTATAAGGGGGCTGGGGGAAACATGCAGCATAGGTTTTTTACCTTAATGCATTAAGGTATAAAACCCTAAGGCTTTCGAACCACTTTATGTTTCCAGGGAGGCTAAGCATGAAGATTAGGATTGTGTTTATGGGAAGGGTTAATGCAAAAACTATTGTTATAGATATAGTAAGTGTTGTTCTGTGTTTGGGGTTGGGGGGGGGGGGGGTGTTAATGTTAGGGTTTCAGAGATTGCTACTGTTAGGATTTTAAGGAGGGTTAGTCTTATGAATGCGGTTATAGGGAGGCTTAGTTTAAAAGTTTTTGTTATGGACAGGGTAAGTGTTTCAGAGAGGGTTAGTGTTATGGCTGGGGTTATAGGGAGGATAAGTCTTATTTTTGGTGTTATAGGTAGGGTTAGTGTATAGGGGTTAGTGTTGTAGAGTGGTTTAGTACTAGGATTACAAAGAGGGGTAGTGCTATGGCTGGGATTAAAAGGAAGTTTATTCCTGGGGCTAGAAGGTGGACTAATGTTATAAGTTATTGGTTATAGGGAGGGTTTGTGTAAATGTTAGTGTTACAGGAAGAATTAGTGTCATGATTGCAGTTATACTACACTTGATCTTAGCCAAAAGGCCGAGAAACAATGATTGCAGTTATAAGCAAACCCCATTGTGAACTTTAACGGTATCCAAAAGACATGAGATTCATGTACAAAAAACATTTTTATATAACAGTATACATTTTATTACAATGTATATTAAAAGACATAAATACAATAGGCAAAATATAACCCTATTAGGCTCTATTGAGTCACACTATATTCCATGATGTCATTACAATGCATTCTACACTGGAATATAACTTCCAAGTAGACAGGTGTTGGGAAACAATATGTGTAGAACCCTCTACATGTTTTGCAACCATTGTCGCATCATCAGGAGGAATGAACCTGTAGGTTATCTACAATAGAATTTAAACAAAAATTAACTACAAAATAATATATACAATTTGCGCTCCATATGCAAAGAAAATAATGCTGAGGATGAATAGCACTGGCTCACCTAAATTGTGGGGAGGAGAAGCCTGTGTAGGGTCCCACCAGTGATGGTCAAATAAATCACCCCAGGTCAGGCATGGGAAGCATATATACAAAGTGTCCATCAGACAACACGATGCTAAGGGGGAAACAATATGAATGAAATCTGTGATGTGGCATAAACCTAGATATTCAAATACTAACATAAATGTCTAGAAGCATATGTATATGTCAGAGGGAATGAAGCCAAATATTGGATGCTATATAAAGTTGTTTAATATCCTATTCTCCATCAAGAAGAAGTAGCCAACAGGGCAGCAAAAGTTCACTCAATTATTGTCCATTTAGCTATTTTGCCCATAGGAGAGATATCAACCCAAACATGCATAATCTAGGAAAAGAGTATAAGAATTAGCTAGATAGTTAAAAGAACATACAAAC